AAAAAAAAAAATATTGGTCTCTGGTCAGACCAAAGTTCCGGAATTGACGCGGCCAAGCGGCCTTTTTTTTATTTTATTTTTTTTCTTCAAGCTTGGATTGTACAGACAAGGGTGGGGAACTATTATGCTTTTTTGGGTCCTCATGTACATGGTGTCCTCCATTATTTGCCTTGGTGCTTTCGATCATTTGCCTTGGTACCAATTTCATTCCTTGGTGCTCTTTGGTAAACAAAAATTGAGGAGGTGCAACTTGCTACTTGCGCAACTTTGAAATTGCGCGCGCAAGTTTCAAACTTGCGCAAGTAGCAAGTTGTGCTCGACAGTACTTGTAGTAATGATTGCACGAGGAACAGCGTGCGCTCGCGAAGGTTTATTAGTCAGACCCTATTTATATCTAACAGTACGTCTAGATTCCAGACTAACTGCTACAACTCCCCAGTTCATTAGGAATTTTACTGAAAGGTATGCGACAAGGTATGCAACAAAATTCACGACATTGCAAACAAATTCGCATACGCGTGTGCACATATTCGCGAATTGTTTCACGACATCGCATACGTGTGCGCACATATTCGCGATAAATTTTGCGACATCGCATACGTGTGAGCACATATTCGCGATAAATTTCTCAACAACGCATACGTGTGCGCATATATTCGCGAATTGTTTCACGACATTGCATACGTGTGCGCACACATTTGCGATAAATTTCCCGACATCGCATACGTATGCGCACATGTTTGCGATATGCGATGTCCCTTCAGGGCCACCATACATACGCACATACATCGTATGTCAGTAAGCCCGCAGGGCACGTGTTACCGAGTTTAAATCCTGACCACAGTGACTGTTTTAGCCGATTTTCGGCTAACTTTGACAGACTTTATGTTCATGCATAGTCAGAGACGTATTATCGATTAAAAAAAATCATAATGCGGAAAAGCCCTATGTTCTGTTGAAAACAGACATAGATCTCTAGTTTTTTTTTTTTTCATCTTCTTTCTTCTTTTTGTCGCCTAAACCCATAGACTTTGTGCACGTTTTTTCTGGCCTCCACTTTTGGCATCAATCTTTGTCATACATCATTCTAAGTTTGCATAAGCATAGTCCCTATAGCAAAGATGTGTCCCGAAGATTGACGTCATGGTGACGTCATCGACTAATTTATTATAGATTTTTGAATATTTAATTTTTCCCATAGACTTTGTACACAGAAATTTAGAAAAAATGTTGATTTTCAAAGGGCATTTTTGACTTTTTGCCAGTCATTCATTTGCACCAATCTTTGTCCAAGCAAAGACCCTAATTCAAACAACATTGTGTAATGATGACGTCATGATGACGTCATCCGGTGTGTATTTATAGGCAATTAATTGTGACACTTTTAATATTTAAAAATGCATAAGAAATCAACCGTACGCATCCGCAGCATTCTGTTACCGGCAAGTGGTAGAGTAGGTTGAGGTCTTTATTTCATTCAGTGTGCGTGAAATCACGTGACCCTTGCTTCCGGTCGAAAAAGGCCAAAACCGGAAGTGGCTTTTTATTTAAAAATGGTAATAGATATGAACTTGCTTTTAACGGTGTTAGTCTCTTGGCTAAAAGTATTCTTCAAATCATCTACCAATGACGTCATGCAATCTTCGAGCGCCCTCTAGCGACAGGTTGAAAGTTTGCAAAAATGTATTTTGAATAGATGTCTGTGGCGAAGTTTGTCGGAATCGCCTAAATATTGGTGTATATGATGACCTTGATCCGCTTAAGACGTGTGCGAAGTTTTAGGCAAATGACGTCATCGGACCGGAAGTTATAATAAAAAGACCCTTTTTCATTTGAAAATTCCTGAAAAATCAACCATGGCAGTTTTTATGTTAGTTTTTACTTTAATTGTCGATTTAAGGGTAGGTCTAAAACATTTCAAAGCTTCGAGGCAATAAGCGAACTCGGACATGCCCTGCGCACGCTTAAAACTACAGGTTAACAACACCTCTGCTCTAAAACATGCACAGAACGCCTATATGTACATATATGTACGTTACGCACATACATCCTATGTCAGTCAGCCTGCAGAGCACGTGTTGCCGAGGTCAAATCCTGTCCACATCACAGTGACCGTTTTAGATTTTCGGCTAACTTTGACAGATTTTATGTTCATGCACGCGCATAGTCAGGGACGTATAATAAAAAATCAGAATGCCGAAAAGCCCTATGTTACGTATTTAAAGGTGCAGTTTTTCTGCAGTGGGATTTTCCACAAGTCTTTTCCTATACAACACTGATATCTTACTGAGTAGTTCTGAACTTCAGCCGAGAATTACTATGAGAAGGAAATAAAAATCGTACTTTTTTTTCGCGCTGTCATTCGATTGAACATATTCCTAAGGGTCAGAATATCAAGTAATATTTCATAAAAATGTTTCCGTTCAAAGGCAATTTACAAATTTAAAGGTGCAATTTTTCTGCAGTGGGATTTTTTTTAGCCCGTTAACTTTGTACACGTGTTAGCCCATTGACTTTGTACACGTTTTCAAGCCACCATTTCTATAACTTGGCGATCTGGAATCGTCATCAATGTTACAGCCAAGGAAGACCCTCATACAAAAATTATGCCAAGACTATGATGTCATGATGACGTCATCACCTAATTTTTTTTATTGATTTTTGAAAATTGACGTACATATTATGAAGTCCTATATCTACAGAACTGTAAGTCTGATTGGGTTGAAACTTGGTATGTGGCTAGACCGGGATGTGTTATAGGTAAAAAAAAAATTAAGTGACACCATGATGACGTCATCCGGAGATTTTATATGAATATTTGAAGTTTTTGACCTTTTAGCCATATCTCATGAACGTAACATGCAAAATTCAAAATTCTTTGTGTATTTGGTCTGTTAGGTAAAAGGTATTTGCACAACATTTTGAACAAAATATCTGACATCATTATGACGTCATAAAAATGCGATTTTTCAAAATACATATAAGGAAAGGTCTGACTGTCATAAAACTTAGTGGGTAGGTAAATAATGGTACTAGTATACAAAGTTTAAAGTGACGTCACGATGACGTCATCGTGTGTTTTTTATAATTTTTAGATATTTATAATTTAATTCTGCTTCCACAAATTACACACTTTCTTTCATCGGATTGACATTCAACTTGGTTCAAACCAAAATCACAATGACAAAATGTGCATTGAGAAGGGTCTTAAGGATGACGTCATTGCAGGGCAAGTGACATCATTTGATAAAATTATACTTTACGAATTATTCTAAGCGTTTTGAACAACCTTTAACTGCATGAAGCAAACTGACTGCAAAAGGACAAACGAAACAAATATTTGTAAAATGCGAAAAAGCCCTGTGTTCTGTTTGCAAACAGACATACAGCTCTAGTTTTTTTTTGCTTTTGTTTTGTTCTCATTTTTTTTTTTTTGGCTTTTTCGCAATTTTGCGAAAAAGCCATTTTTCTGTTCTCATTTTTTTTTTTTTTCATCTTCATCTTCTTTCTTCTTTTTGTCACCTAAACCCCATAGACTTTGTGCACGTTTTTTCTGGCCTCCACTTTTGGCATTAATCTTTGTCATACATCATTCTAAGTTTGCATAAGCATAGTCCCTATAGCAAAGATGTGTCCTGAAGATTGACGTCATGGTGACGTCATCGACTAATTTATTATAGATTTTTGAATATT